CCACCCACCCACCCTACCTTTCTAGGGCTCGTTGTCTTCCTCCTCAACGGGCTTTGCAGCTAGTAAAGACATAAAGCAGGATCTTTGTATTACCATATCCTTATCACTTTCTTATGATTTTCCAATTCTACTAAGATTGCTATAATAGTAACGTATAATAACTCTAGATATATTTTAGAAGGACCTCAATAGTATTTTGTGAAAGTGCTCAGACCATAAAAATTCTCATAGATGTACCCCTTCTGCATAGCCAGTATGTGCTGGTCAAAACTGGTACTGAGCATAAATGAAACTACAGAAATCAATAATTCCTTTGAATATTCTTGAGCCAGTTGTTTTTATAACCCTTTGCTTTGGCAGGTAAATAAGGGAAATTCCCAAATCCGATATTTATAATGCAGATTAGCTTCCTTAATAACCTGCCAAGCCTTGGAGAAATACCAAGCGTTTGCGGTAACTGCCTACGTGGCTTTTAATAATATGGAACTGATTCTAAATGAGTGCCAAGCGTAGGCTTCCTCTAATCTTTGTGCTGTCCCATTTCAAAGTCCAGTAAATCTGGGGAAATTTGGGTAGCTGAGGCTTGCACATATAGAGTTCATCTTGCAAAGGAGAAAGCAAATGGGGGGATAACATTGCAAGCAAAAAAGGATAATGCATTTTACTAATATCTTGCCAGCTGCATAAAATCTAGCTGAGCTCCACCTCCTTCCTGCCTGCAGGTTTGAAAAGTCTGGGTGCACGCCAAAGGACCAGAGCCAAAAGCTCTTGGCCCTCGGCTTGAGGCTTACAGTCTAGGCCCTGTAACAGTCCTCTGAATCAGGATTCACCAAGGATGTTAGTTTTACCCTTTTGTTGAAGTACAGCAAACAGGTCTGCTCTGTCAGCTAAGCAAAAGCAGACAGCTGTTCTCTACGTATTTATCATAGACCTGCTAATCCAGAAAGTACTGTTTGCCTGCAGATCACTGTGACTAATCTTGCAAATAAGTTGATTCTGAACTCTCCCCAGAAGCTAAAATAACTAAGTTGATGCTATAGTACTTTGGGCACATGAAAAGACAAGAAAATTTGGAAAAGATGGAAAAGTTGAAGGCAGCAGGAAAAGATGGATTGACTCAATCAAGGAAGCAAGGGTCCTCAGTTTGCAAGACCTGAGCAAGGCTGTTAACGATAGAACATTTGGGGGATCATTAATTCATAGGGGTGTTATGAGTCAGAAGCTACTTGAGAGCACTTAACACACACACACACACACACACACAAAATATTGCATAGTGTGTTCATTTCACACAGTAATTCAAAAAACTAGATTTCAGCACCTGACCTTAATGTTCCCAGGTCCCTGCCACACAGCAGGAAAAACACCTGGCAGTGTGTGGCTTTTAAAAGCCGCACCAAAATAGAAACGCCGCAGCGGGATCCCACGGCTCCCCGGCACAATCAGATGCCGGGGAGGAAGAGACAATCGGGAGGGGGAGGCTGCCGAACTGCGCATGTCTGAGCATGCGCAGTTCGGCTGGGGATGCTCCGGCGAAGGACGCGCCGGCAATCCCACGGCCGGCCTTGATGCGCCCTGTCCCGACGAACCACCTAGATAGGTGGTTTATTTTTGATGCGGGGTTTCGGTGGAAGGGCCGGATCGGGAACGGGCGCGCCACGCTTCCCAGATGTTGCTGTGGGATCTCACCCGTTTGCTGTGCCCCCGATCCGGCCCTCTCCCAGCCCAAAACCACTCGTGTGACCGGGGCCCCAGATCAGTTACTGGAGCTCAGAGAACTACTCCCTATGACATGCTTCATAATTCTTTGCAACGTAGAAAAGTTGATATGAAGGCAGAAAGCTGGAAAGCTGCTGTACTAAAGGGAAACATTTTTCTGGGTACAAACATAACAGGGCAGGATCTGTCTCATGAAAAAGAGTTAACTTCTATTGTGTTGTTTTAGAAAGCTCTACACTTCAACTTGGTAAGAGATTTATTCTTGTTGCAACAGCCAGATCCATAGATTTCTTCCTTTATCACACTCCAGAACAGTTTATCATCTGTCTGTTTGAATTGTGGGAGCCCAAAGAAATTAAAAATACTTGCCTGCCATAGAAACTATAATTGTCTCCTGGGCTGCTTATTTTTAACACTTTAGCTACATAAAAACAAAGCAACTTCCCACCTTTGACTCTTAACAAATACTTTCCCCTCATTTTAACATAAGAGATGCCAATGTTGGATTTGGGTTGTGATTTAGTGGGTGAGCCTTTGCTTTTCATGCAGAAAGTCCTAGGTTCAATCCTCGGCAGCTCGAGTTCAGGATCAGGTGGCAAGTGATATGAAAGACCTCAGTCTGAGACCTCAGAGATCCACTGCCAGTATGAGTAAACAATACTGACCTTGATAGACTGATGGTTTGATTCAGTTTATGGCAGTTTCCTGTGTTTACAAAATGAAAATCCAAGTGACAACTTTGACCATATCATCAATTGATTCATAAGAAGAAGATTGGATTTATATCCTTAGAATGGTTTACCACGATTATCCATTTTATAATCTCTACAGGATTGTATTAATACTGGGAAATGTTTATTTTAATATTGTATGCCAATAAAAGGTATTTGACTTTGATACCCCTCCCCATAACAGACACCCTGTGAGGTAGGTGGGGCTGAGAGAGCTCTTGACAGAAACTGCTCTTTTTCAAGAACAGCTCTTATCAAAACTACGACTTGCCCAAGGTCATCCAGCCAGGTGCAAGTGGAGGAGTGGGGAATCAAACCCGGTTCTCCCAGATTAGAGTCTGCACACTTAACCACTACACCAAACTGGCTCCTACACCAAACTGGCTCTATCACTCACAGCAACTATATTTCAAATATTAACATTCAGTTGTGTTTCCACAGCAAAAAAAAGAATGAACAGGAACAACAGTCAGATCCAGAGGCGTCTTTCAGTAACTACTACCGAATTGTTACCCCAACATTCCGGTACAGTATGGACTACAAGAAAGTTGGTAAATGCATTATTATAAACAACAAGAATTTTGCAGACTATACAGGTATGTTTTGTTTTTGTTTTTTGTAATATAATTCTGGGTTCTGGAACTATATATTATATAATAGTTTTTTTATTGCATGAACAAAGAATATAAATAATGAAACAACCTTTCCCATGATGTTATCTGGGAAACTGCATTCCCAGATAATCTGCATTCGTTCAGAATTTGTATGTAGACACAGCTTTTACGTGGCAGGCACTGTAATGCTAGTCAGAACATTAGAGAAATTGAGCAAACAGCATCTTACTATCTGCTAGACATGGGGCATCCCGCAGATTCTTGAATAGTCTTGCAGACAACTTCATCTGTCAGAAGGTGGAGGTGGAAACCAGAGAATCTGTTATCCTGGATTTAATCCTGACTAACAGGTAAGAACTGGTTGATGAAGTGAACTGAACATTGTGGGATCCTTGGGGAATAGTGACCATGTCAGCTTGGAATTTGACATAGAGAAGGGTGTGAAACCAGGACATAGTAGGACTCGTATCATGGACTTCAGGAAAGCTGATTTCAAAAAACTCAGAGAAATATTAGGTAGGATCCCGTGGCTAGAAATGCTAAGGGGGAAATCTGCACAGGAAGGATGGGTGATGCTGAAAAATCAAGTGCTTAAGGCACAATCTCAAACTGTTCCGGTAAGAAAGAAAGGTGGGAGATGGGTAATGAAGCCAAGGTGGCTGAACAAGGAACTCCCTAAAGAGCTGAGACTTAAAGGGGAAATGTACAGGAAATGGATGGAGGGTCAGATTACTGAGAGTGAATACAAAAAGCAGGCTCGAATCTGTAGGGATGGTGTCAGAAAGGCTAAAGCGCAGATGGAGCTGTGGCTTGCGAGGGATGCTAAAAATAACAAGAAAAAGGTCTATGCCTATGTTCAGAACAAAAAGAAGAACAGGGATGGGGTAAGCTCATTGCTAGGGGAAAACGGTCAAGCCTTAAAAAGGGATGAAGACAAAGTAGAATTACTAAACTCTCACTTTGCATCGATCTTTAACCATAAGGTGAGCTGTATACAAACTGAAGAATGCAGGGCATATGAAGGAAGGAGTCCAGTGTAAGTAAGGATATGGTTAGAGAGCATCTAGCTGCCTTAAATACTTTCAAGTCTCCAGGGCCAGATTGCTTGCATCCCAGGGTGCTAAAAGAAATTACAGATGTTATTTCAGAGCCTCTGGCTCTAATCTTTGAGATGTCCTGGAGTACTGGTGTTGTGCCAGAAGACTGGAGAAGAGCTAATGTTGAATGATCTTCAAGAAGGGAAGAAAGACGGACCCGGGAAATTACAGGCTTCCTCTGGCAATGCTGTGGGTATAGTGTATCTAGATTTCAATAAAGCATTTGACAAAGTTTCTCATGATATCCTTGAGGATAAGCTGGTTAAGTGTAGGCTGGATGGTGCAACCGTTGGATGGATTCATGGTTGGTTGAAAAATCGTACCCAATGAGTGCTCGTAAATGGCTCTGCATCTACGTGGAGGGAAGTCTCGAGTGGAGTGCCGCAGGGCTAGGTCCTAGGCCCGGTGTTGTTCAGTGTTTTTATAAATGACCTGGAGAAAGACATAGAGGGATGCTTATCAAATTTGCAGATGACACGAAGCTGGGTGGGATTGCTAATTCTGAAGAAGACAGAGTCAGGATTCAAAATGATCTAGATAGGCTGGAACAGTGGGCTGAGACAAATAAAATGAATTTCAATAGAGAGAAGTGCAAAGTCCTACACTTAGGTACAAAAAAATCAAAGGCACAGATATAGAATGGGAGGGACTTGGCTTGACAGCAGCACATCTGAAAGGGATCTGGGTGTTCTGGATGATCACAAGGTAAACATGAGCCTGCAGTGCAATGTGACTGTGAAGAAAGCTAATGCAATCTTAGGATGCATTAACAGAAGCATTGTGTCCAGATCATGGGAGCTGGTTGTTCCGCTCTATTCTGCTATGGTCAGGCCTCACCTGGAGTACTGTGTCCAGTTTTGGGCAGCACATTTTAGGAAGGATATTGACAAGCTTGAGCGTGTCCAGAAGAGGGCAACCAGGATGGTGAGAGGGTTTCAATCCAAGTCTTATGAGGAAAGGCTGAAAGAGTTTGGTTTGTTTAGCCTGGGAAAGAGAAGGCTTAGAGGGGACATGATTGCAGTCTTCAAGTATTTGAAGGGCTGTCATGTAGAAGATGGAGCAGATCTATTCTCTCTTGCTCCGGGTTGCAAGACTAGATCTAATGGGTGGAAATTACAAGGGAGTCGTTACTGACTAAATATCAGGAGAAACTTCCTAACTCTAAGAGTGGATGAGCAGTGGAACAGACTGCCTCAGGAGGTGGTGGATGCTCCTTCACTGGACATTTTCAAGCGGAGGCTAGATGACCATCTTTCGGGTATGTCGTAGGTATGTAGGGCTATTTTTTGGCTATGCTCCTGCAGAGTGCAGGGGGTTGGACTAGATGACCTGCAATGTCCCTTCCAACGCTAACATTCTATGATTCTGTGATCATTAAAGCTAGTGTCATTTGGGACTACCTAAATATTTTCCAATAATAGTCAGCAGTCTGAGTTTTTCAAACATTTTTGTTCATGAATAAGTTGCTTCTCTGCAAATCTGCAGGAAATGATGGTACTTTTCTGCAGCAAACTGTGATTTGTCTTTGTTTCTTATTAGGCATGGGTAGACGAAATGGCACAGATAAAGATGCTGGCGATTTGCAGAAATGTTTCCGAAATATAGGGTTTGATGTTGTTGTATATAATGATCAAAGCTGTGAAGAAATGGAGAAATTGCTCAAACAAGGTAACAGTGAAAGTTCATTATGTTAGATTTCCCAATGTCCTCTCTGTTCCTGTTGGTTTAGTTAAGAAGGCATATAATCACCTTCCTGAAGGAGAGTCTAATTAGTTTAGCCTTGCTTTGTAGAACCCATTTAAACAGACTTGTCAGTTACAGCATTGTAGAAAGAAGCTGAATGGCATTTCCATTGTTTAACAGGAAATGTGTTTGATTTATAGCTGCATGTGAGAACCACAGCGATGCTGCTTGTTTTGCCTGTATATTTTTAAGCCACGGAGAGGAGGGTCTCATCTATGGCACAAATGGAGCTATGCCAATCAAGAATTTGACTTCGTTTTTTAGGGGAGACAAGTGTCCAAGCCTTGTTGGAAAACCTAAACTATTTTTCATTCAGGTAAGGCATTCAGTCCTAGCTACAAATCACTAGATAGAAATAGTTTTCCGGTGAGTAAGATTAGTAAGCTGAAATCTCAAAGACTGAAAACACAATTCTTCTTGGTAGGCTGAAGGGTGCTGGTCACTCTTTGCAGGTTAATTCCTCCTATCCGTCAAAGAAACAGCTTCTTAATCATCTGTGGGAGAGCTGACCCCTCCTGCTCCTAGACCTGCCTTAGCAGCATGGGAACAAGTTCACATGAGCTCTAGAAAGCTCAACGATGCGTATTAATAGCATGTACCTGCTTTCTTTGTTCTTTCTTCACCTCTCCCTTTTCATATCCCAATATCACCAATCAGAGTTAGGTAGAATTTGGGACTTCCAAGGCTTGAAGCAGCCAAAGAAGCTTCAGGACCAAGTGGTTATCAGCCCAACAGCATCTTTATGTTTGTTTGTTTGTTTGTTTTAATGTATAAGGGAGGTAATGGTGATGTGTTTGTTTCAGATGAGTCTGGTCAGGCCTGATTCAGATATAGCTATGCACGTAAAAAGCCCTAGCCATCTCATTAGCATTTCTATATCGGATCATTAATCGCCTGGCAAAGGGCACACCTCAACATTGTTTTGGATTCATTTCAGATATAGTACATAAGTAAAAATATTACTAGAGATGCTTGCCTGCATTATCTTTTTATTTAAAATGTAATTATTCGTTTCCCATATTTATAGGTATTAAAAGTCATCTTTTAATACTCACATTCTTGGCTCAATAATGAATATATTTAATTTTCAACCTTGTCAGATCTGTGGATATTGTGGACTTTAATAATGTATTGTTTTTAATGAACTGCTTTTAGATATTTTATGGTAATTTGATTGTTATTTGTGTATTTACCCTGTGTAAGCCACTCTGAGCCTGCCTTGGCAGGGAGGGCAGGGTATAAATTGGAATAAATATATAAATAAAATAAATAAATTGGAGCCATAAACAGACAAGACAGATCTTTCTGTAAGCCAGGGGAAAAGCCTCACATTTGCAGAAAAATATGAAATCGTTAAAAAAAAAATACATTGGGGGCTTAACCTCTGCCCCAAATAATGGAAGCAGTGCTGTAGCTTTAAGAGATCAATGCACTCAGTGGCCATTACTAGGCACCTACAACAGTATTGCCAGCATTCAAGTCTTGGTTTCAGTTAAACTTCAGTAGTGTGATATGAACCTGTTACAGTTACTGAATGGGGATAAAATTCCATAACCCCCCACTCCTTAATGTATCTTGGATTTATGTGCGATTATTTATGAACAATCAAGTTATATATCTTCTGTGTTATGATTTCAGGCATGTCGAGGTTCTGAATTTGATGATGGTATACAGACAGACTCAGGTCCTTCAAATGACAATCTGGAAACTGATGCCAATCCCAGATACAAGATTCCAGTTGAAGCAGATTTTTTGTTTGCATATTCTACTGTGCCAGGTATGGTTGGGGAAAGTGACAGATTTTGGCATTCAGATAAGATAAATTTAAAAACAGGTGTAAATTAGTGAGACAATGTCAAAAGGCCTACAATTAAGTTTAAAAATTGATAATGTAAATAAAAAGTGAAAATATTGTAGGGAAATATTTACATTGGGTTTTAAGCCAATGTTGAATTAAAATTTTTGCTTGATAGAAAATACCTAATTGGATTTGTACACTTCTAAAATAATACAAGTTTTAAAGTCGTATTTTATTTTTCTTCCCCTCCTTTTCTACTTTGATGAAGTGGTAAGGTATCAGGATTCCAAAATGTGTGTAATGTTATATATTTTTACATGTTTGGTATTGTTTACATGTTTAGTAATTACAAGTAAGGGGACCCGCGATACTCGCGGGGGGGGAGAAGAGCTACACGCAGAGCAGGAGGAGGAGGAGGAGTCAGCAGCAGCAGGTAAGCCTTGCCGATCTCCTCTTCCCCCCCCTCCCTCGGTCTCCTCCACCCCACCCCCCCGGCTTGGACGGCGAGGCCCGAGCGGCTGTTAGCCGCTAGGCCT